CCCTGGATGAGCTAAGTCCAAGACTGTGCTTTGCAGCTTTCAAAAGATGTCAATAACTCGCTTTTCCACACTTGAAAAGGCTATTGGGGCGGACCGCGTATGCCTGCCTTCTGCCTTCTTGATTGGCTCGTGGATGCGGTGGGTACGGTATCTCCACTCACGAGCCAATGCGCTCTAGAGGGCAGGCATACGTGGTCCCAATAACCTTTTCACCTCTGGAAAAGAGGATTATTGACATCTTTTTATGCTGCAAAGCAGAGTTCTGTTTAGCTCATCCAAGGGCGAGAACGATGAATATCCTAAATTTGTCATTCTGCTGAGCCGCTGCCTTTGAGGAAACCTTTTGAGGACTCTCTACATTATTAGGAGATTTTAGATGCTTACCTTAATCCCGTCGACTAGGGTGTTTGTGACCACTTGGCACGTTTCTCGGCCTACATCCGTTTCTGTGAGTGTTGTAGCCTCTGCCATGGCCACCTCGAACTGAAAAAAACGTGCATATTGAAATATAAAATTCAGCTGAGATTTGAGCGCTCAAAATGCAATCCCAGTCTATTAACCTCTTCGCTGGGCAGAATGCCAACAAACTCATCATCTCCAGTGTGCTCTTCAGTGGCCGTTTGAAAGCGTAGACCTTCTTCAGAAAACAATGGTGGAGCTGTAGAAGTTGCTGGAGAGACTGAAAGAGGACAGCATTGGGAGTAATGTTACGGCTTACTGCTTCAAATCCGACACAAAGAAAAAATAAAAATTTCAAGGATTACTCCGTAAACTTTACTCCAAGCGACTAACCTCCTTTGCTGCTGCCGGGTGCGGTTTGCGGGGAGAGTGCGGCACTGGGGTGAGAAGTACCTGATGATGTCACGTCATAACTTTCGACAAAATCGTCCTGCAAAATATCTGGTCTTTTTCAAAAAACGAAGAAGTTTTTTCACCTCAGTTGCTTGGATAGCCATTTCCTGCTTGGGTGAGACATTTTCTGTCATATTCATGACCATCTGGTGCAAAAATGCCGCTTGCT